ACATGCTTACGTCCCCGCCAGGCTGGAATTTCCCATGTAGCCATTAGCATGAGTTCAGACGATCACCTGCACACACCTTACTGTGACCCTGCATGACCGCCATGCTCACTCACACGCAACAAGCCTTTGCGCTGTCAGCTTCAAACCTCTGTTTGAAGAGCCAGCAGCAAGGAGGTCTGAGGGCCCGCTGAGGGCCAGGAGCCTACAGCTGCAGGTCACCAGGCTCCTCCTCTGATAGGATTACTGATGTGTTCTGCTGTCAGACACCAACAAATGAGAGGAGCTGTATTCACCAGTCACACAAAGTTTACATAGAGATGCAGGAAACTAAGCTGTTGCAGTCTAATGCCGTAAACATGACTTTACTGTCTGACTAAACATTTTTACACCTTTAGTTAAATTGAGCAATTGTTAAATTTAGTCAACCTCAAAATGCTTTGGTTTATGAAGTAGTTCTGAGTACTATACATACATATATAAATACATATGAAAAAATACATTTGTGTTTATTTGAAGTTACAACTAAAATATGAATATATATAAATATATATATATTTATATATAATATATTTTTATATAGTTATTTATAAATAACTATAAAAAATAAATATATATATATAAAACTATATATATATATAAATATATTATTTATATAGTTATATCTATATATATAAAATTATGTTAAAAATATATAAAAATATAATTTTTATATAGTTACATATAAATAACTATATAAAAATAAATATATATATCACTATATAAAAAATATATTTTATATAGTTATATAAATATATGTATAACTATATAAATATATATATATTTTTTATATAGTTATACATATATTTATATAACTATATAAAATATATATTTTTTATATAGTGATATATATATATATATTTTTATATAGTTATTTACATATAACTATATAAAAATATGTTTTTATATATTTTTTATATAATTTTATATATATATATAACTATATATAATATATATATTTTATAGTTATATATATATTTATATAACATATAAAATATATATATTTTACAGTTATTTATAAATAACTATAAAAAATAAATATATATATAAAACTATATATATATAAATATATTATTTATATAGTTATATCTATATATATAAAATTATGTTAAAAATATATAAAAATATATTTTTTATATAGTTACATATAAATAACTATATAAAAATAAATATATATATCACTATATAAAAATATATATATTTTATATAGTTATATAAATATATGTATAACTATATAAATATATATATATTTTTATATAGTTATACATATATTTATATAACTATATAAAATATATATATTTTTTATATAGTGATATATATATTTATTTTATATAGTTATTTATATATAACTATATAATAATATTTTTTATATATTTTTTAATATAATTGTATGTATATATAACTATATATAATATATATATTTTATATATATATATATATATTTATATAACATATAAAATATATATATTTTTATATAGTGATATGTATATATATATATATATATATATATATATATATATATATATATATATATATATAATATGGTTATTTACATATAACTATATAAAATATTATATATATACACACATATATACAGCTATATGAAAATACATATTAATTTTTATATAGTTATTTAGTTTTCATATGAAAAAATAAACTTGTGTTTATTTGGGGTTATAACTAAACTCTGAAGACTATAAACAAAAAAAGATTATTACAATAATTTAAACACATAGTTCCATCATCTAAATGCTGTTCATAACTGGATTGTGCTGTTTATGTTCTATTATTAGACATTAAAATGACAAGCTCGCTTTGAAAAGCAGAATATTACTGAAATAAAGTAAATTTGAATGAGTTATTTTTATTCCAGTGGATTAGCCTACATGGTACACCTAGCCTACATCCCAGACGACTTTTAGTGTGAAACATCACTTTCAACTGAACAAAAATGGGTATTGTTTATGAACTAAATCAGCTGCTGAACACACACAAAGAAGGATAACGTGTGCTAAAAACTGAAAACATGAATGTGCAGCAGCCCAAAAAATGTACAATTAGCTGTTTTGGATTATCTTTGTAACATGGGTTGAGTTAGTTTATCCAACAGGCGGACCGATGTGAAACACAAACGCACCAGAGCCAAGCAGTTATGGAAAATCTGATGTTTTACTCGGTCTGTGAACTCACCATAATTCCCTCCAGCACTAACGGTCTTACTTGCAACTGCTTATTTATCCAGAAATGGTCGATCAATAAAGTTGAGGCCACTCAGTGTTGAGATGGGAATAATGAAATAAATGTGTTTTTTTAAAGAAAAATCTGATTTTTAAAATAAAATTCTGTGTTACATAAACAAACCCTCAAAAACATTCCAAGACGTAACTGGCTAAAAAATAAAATCTAAACAGATATATTTATTAAAAATCAATCAATAAATGATTGGAAGAATGAAAGAACTATGGAATAATTTTAATTGATACTCATCACATTTTAGTTAACCCTGTACCTGGCAGCTTAGCCTTGGTGCAGCTTATTTTAGTTCCTCTGTCTTTAATAAATGAAACAACAAACAGGACAAAACTCTAAACAAAAACATGCAAGGAATTCAAACATTTTTACATTAATATTACCTTAATTCAGTTTTTTTCATTACCATTTTACAAATATTTTATTGTTTTGCATAAATAAAAATACATTTTAATCATTAATTTAATCTTGCTGTGGACAGTTAAATGGATAAATACAAACTTTCTTCAGGTACACATTTATTCAGAATTACTCTGCAGAATAAACCCACTTCAGGTTTTAATGAGTTCATTTGAATGATTTATCAGTTTAAATCCATTGACCCTATTACGTTGTTGGAATGCCTCCTGGAAGTGGGCCCAGTTTGGGGCTGGTCTAATAGACAGGGACCAGTTCACCACTTGGTCCACGAGCGATGATGCAGAGTCAGAGTTTCGTGGAGCTGCAGGGATGCCGGAGGGATTTGGGTCAGTGTCTGCTTTTCATTCTCTCATCACAATTATGATAAAAATGTCTCAGAGTTGGAAATAGGAGTATTTGTTGACTGTTGTGATTTTTTATGTTTGACCAATTTAAGTATATTAAAAACCCTACTGGTTACATTATTTAATATCCCTGAAATTATTTTAATTCTACTTGTTTATTCAACTTTTAAATTTTTGAAAAATATAATTTTATTTCACAAAACACTAAAATCAAACCTTTATTGTTCATCATTTACAAACTCATATTAACACAATGAAGGCTGCACAGCCATAAAAATGTATTCAGTTAAATCTTTTAAAATATGTAATTATCATTGATTATTAAAATCGCTTTTGTGTTAATCATCACAAGATCGTAGTCTGAAAACAAGATAGATTCTCATTTTGTCCTTCTAAACAATTAAAGATATATTTAAAACGATTAAAAATGTTCGGTTAATTTCTTGCTCTTCAATTCTGTCTTTTCCAAACACATAAAATGAAAAGTACCTAATTTCTATTTTTTAAACATTCCAGCTAAGAATGATAAAATAAGACCATCAGTTCCAAAATAATCTGCAGCGCATGAAGAATTTGAAATAATAATTTTTGTCAAAAATAATAAACAATGTGAAGGTTTTATTCATGTAGTATTCTTTAATTTCCTATAGTATTGTGACTTTTTCCGTACAGGCCAGAACAAAAAACACATTTATACAAATGATTTAAGTCTCACTGCTTTAGTGTGATGTTTTTGATCACTGTCATCACGTGCTTGGTTGGGAAAGATGGCGGGTGCTGTCCGCGGTGCTGAAACGCGTCAACAAGAACACGAGGTTCAGTTACTGCAGAAATAAAATAAGAACATTTAAAGTTTGAACTTTCAGTCATACAAAGTTTATGTTAAATATAAAAAACAAGCACAATAAATAAGAAACAAAGAAACAAAAAAAAAACGTTTTTGAATCCTAGGATTTTATTTTGATGGATCGCAGCTTTAGATGGACAGAAGGAGAATATCTATTATTATTTTATTCCTAATTTATTTATTGATTCCTGAAAACTGTTTATTATTTTCCTTAGACCAGAGGAGGCGCGTCTCTTCTTCCACGTCAGCTGTGATGAAGAGAGCTGATCAGGCCCGACATGCAGGCGCCTCGGAGTCCGGGAGAGGTCGATGATCGGCGAGGAAAGATGAACGTCCCACCGCGGGGTTCGCCTCCTGCTGGTGGCGCTGCGGGTAAACGCAACTCCGGCTGCGGTTCAACCACCAGAGGAACAGAAAACGCATCAAACCAGGAAACTCAGCACGATTTACAATCAAACCAAAACGGTTCTTTCTTTGTAATTTATTCAACAAGAATAACTACCAACAACTAATTATACAACTAATACAACTATTTATAACAAACATAGGATTACAATGTGTAACGCTTTTTTACTTAGAATTATTGTTATTATTGTTTTTAATATTTTTCAATGTATATTATTTAGCCTATAGATTCCAATAATAATAATAATAATAATAATAATAATAATAATAATAATAATAATAATAATAATAATAATAATAACTCAAAAGTGGACATGATAAAACAACTTTTTATTGTTATTATTCATGAAATCGCCTGCTTTCATGGACCAGGTCACTCTTGGAAATGAGATGAAATACCTCAGTGAGATTTTACCTGCATGGTAAAATAAAGGATCATATACTAATTCAGTCTACCTGTCTAGTCTTTTTTACAGCAAGAATGGAACAAATCTAACCTAAAAACTACATGAAGTATAATAATATTCACTATTATTACTATTACTTTTCAGGCTATAATATACAATAGAATTAACATCCTGTTCCATGATTTGCCAACTTTCCGCGTAACTAATTTTCAGATCAGACGTTTCCGTTTACAAGTGGAACAATGTGGGGGTGGGGGGCAGACAGCGCGATGTGGGAGGAGGAGGTGATGGTGAAGGGGTGGAGTGACACATCCACCCCTCCCTTTCAGTTTAATTGAGAAGCCGTCGGGTCGAGATGCTGATTGCGGATAAATGGTTCACCTCGGTGCAGCTGCACTTAAATCATGCACAGATTGCGGACAGAGAGCAGGGAGCACACACTCTCTCTTCCTCACGCACACGCACGCGCCTGGTGCTTTCGCGTTCCGTCGGACGCTCAGCTGGCTGCACGCTCCCAGACTGATAGATTGCCGTTGCGCCAACATGTGAGCCGCTGCAGAGTTTGCGGATTTTTTATTTTTTTTGCAAAACTTTATTGATATTGGAGAAATTCTGATATAAAAGGACCAGATCAGGTATTTTACACGGTTAGTATAATTAAAGTATAATTAAGATGCTGGGTTTGACTAGCGTGGGTTTGTTGCAGGACCTGATGATGGACGAGGCACCAGAGCCGGATCTGGTTCTGACTCCCCGCGCTGTGCTGCTGGCCTGCGGTGCCCTGCTGCTCTCCTTGTGGTTCTGCCTCCGGAACCGCTCGGTCCCGGGTCTGCCCGGACCCTTCCCGTGGCCCATCATCGGTAACGCAGCGCAACTCGGGAACGCACCGCACCTGTTCTTCATGCGCATGATGAGAAAATACGGAGAGGTGTTCCAGATCCAGCTGGGCAGCCGAACCGTAGTGGTTCTGAACGGAGCCTCCATCAGACAGGCTCTCATCAAGCAGGGACCGGACTTCGCAGGCAGACCGGACTTCACGTCCTTCCGGTTCATCTCTAACGGAGACAGCATCGCGTTCGGTACCGTCACCGACAGGTGGAAGACGCACCGCAAAGTGGCCCTCTCCACGGTCCGGTTGTTCTCCAGCGGGAACCCGGAGACCAGAAAGACCTTCGAGCATCACGTGGTGTGCGAGTTCAAACAGCTGCTGCAGCTGTTCCTGACCAGAACCCGCGAGAGCCGCTTCTTCCAGCCCATGACCTACCTGGTGGTGTCCACCGCCAACGTCATGAGCGCGGTCTGCTTCGGGAAGCGCTACTCGTACGATCACGACGAGTTCCGGGAGGTGGTGGGTCGGAACCACAAGTTCACCAGAACCGTTGGAGCGGGCAGCTTCGTGGACGTGATGCCCTGGCTCCAGTACTTCCCGAACCCCATCAAAACCATCTTTGATGAGTTCAAGAAGCTCAACACCGACTTCACTAAGTTCATCAGGGACAAGGTCCTGGAGCACAGGAGGACAATCCGGTCCAGCACCATCAGGGACATGACGGACGCCTTCATAGTGGCGATGGACGAAGCCGCAGACAGCCAGGGACTTCCACTCGGGAAGGACTCTGTCACCTCCACGATGACGGACATATTTGGAGCCAGTCAGGACACCCTGTCCAGCGTCCTGCAGTGGATTGTCCTCATCCTGGTCAAGTAAGAGTCTCCTTGTGACAAATAAAAACCAGAGTCTCAAAGAAAAGCTGCACCTGTTATGCAACTGTGTGTGTGTGTATGTGTGTGAGAGGGTATCCTGGCAGGAGTCCAAAGGAGGTGATACATGCACACCAGAGAGAATGAATTAATCCTACAGATTACATCTGCTGGCATAAGTAATACATGTATGAGTTCACATCTCAACCAATTTCTCCTCAGGAGAAACCATCTTTAAACCTTTTCACATCTTTATTGTTTATTATATCTTTAAGGAGCAAAAAACAAGCAGGCATGAACTCACCTGAGAAGGGAGGCGGCATCCTGCCTCTTAAGTTTTTGTCTCACGTTTCAGATTAAACAATGACATGACCCGAGCAAACACAAAATATGAGCTAATTTATTAGGAGAAAAAGTTCTGGGCCCCACATGAAATAACTGGTTAGAATGAGCTTTCTACCACTCTACTCCACAGAATCGTCTGAATTCAGTCAGAGTGGAGGTTTTCCTGCATAAACTGTCTGTCTAAGGTCAAAGGTCAGACATTGTCCTTCAGGATGTTCTGCTAGAGAGCACAATTCATGGTTCCATAAGTTGCAGCAGGTGGTCCAGGTCCTGATGCAGCAGAGCAGCCCCAGACCATCACACTACCACCACCTTGTCTGACTGGTGGTGGTTTAGTGGTAGCACACCTTCCTGATGCTCGAGTCTGAACTCATAAGTACGACTTACAAAGCATCTATTCCTACTAGAGACCACTGCAAATGTATTGATTAAACAAGTGATGCTAACTGCAGAACAATGCTAGCTTAAGCTAATGCTAACCCAAGCTAATTCTAATGCTAGCCCAAGCTACTACTACTAACAAGTGAGTTACTGTGCTGTTTTTAGAACCTCTGGGGTGGTAGGAGAGCTCACAGTACTCCCAGCATTCCCAGTGATCATCCATTTGCCAATGAAGGAGCTGAAGCAGACACAAATGCTCACCTTGTAGTTCAGACCTCAGTAGAAATGAAACAAACACGGACAGTAAAAATGAGTGTTTCAGAAAATAAAGGTTGTAAAATACCTGTAATTTGATTTCAGGTATCCTGAGATGCAGGTGCGTCTCCAGCAAGAGGTCCACAAAGTTGTTGACCGCGACCGTCTCCCCTGCATCGAAGACCAGCAACAGCTGCCTTATGTCACGTCCTTTATCTACGAAGTGATGCGCTTCACGAGCTTCATGCCCCTCACCATCCCCCACAGTACTGTCAAAGACACCTCCATCATGGGCTACGCCATACCAAAGAACACTGTGGTCTTTATCAACCAGTGGTCCATCAACCACGACCCAGCCATTTGGTCCGACCCAGAAACCTTTGACCCCCAGCGCTTCCTGGATGCTGAGGGCTCGCTGAACAAGGACCTGACCAGCAATGTGCTCATCTTCTCTCTGGGACAACGGCGGTGCATTGGCGAGGAGATCGCCAAGATGCAGCTGTTCCTGTTCACAGCCCTGTTAGCGCACCAGTGCAACATCAGCGCAGACCCGGCCCAGACCGTCACACTGGACTATCTCTACGGCCTGACTCTCAAACCCCACGCCTACTCCATAGCAGTGTCTCTGCGTGAAGACATGACGCTGTTGGACGCAGCCACTGCCTCGTTCTCAGAGGAGGTAAAAGGAGACTGACGAAAAAAAAAAAGATATAAACATGCGAAAGATGAAGGTTGAAGCTCACATTTCCCCTGAAACCGGAGGCTTATATTGATTATTCTAGTCAGAGTAGCATTAAAGGATTTTTTGGGACTGCTTTGAAATGTGTTCGTGTAAAAGTCAAATATAATTCTTATGTTACACAAAAGAGCTTCCTGAACAGTAGAAGTGGTGTTTATGTAGCAGCCCAATTCATGGACAGGTTTGGTCTGTTTCACCAGGTCAAATGGTAAATGGCCGGTATTTTTATAGCACCTTCTTAGGGCTCTACAACCCCCCAAGGCGCTTCACAACACAATCAGTCATTCACCCAGTCACACCCTGGTGGTGATGAGCTACGATGTAGCCACAGCTGCCCTGGGGCGCACTGACAGAGGCGAGGCTGCTGAACTCAGGTGCCACCGGTCCCTCCGACCACCACCAGCAGGCAAGGTGGGTTAAGTGTCTTGCCCAAGGACACAACAGCAGCATTCTCTCTCTGGAGCCGGGATCGAACCTGCAACCTTCTGATTACTGGACAACCCGCTCCTGAGCTACTGCTGTCCCAAGATGATAATTATTCATAACTTTTACAAAAAAAAAAAGCTTTAAAATGGCTTTAAAGTCCCTTTAATACTGTCACTCATATCAGATAGTGAGTGGAGGACTGTAGTCAGCTGATTTATAACAGGTAAACAAACAGAACCAGGCTGCAAAACAGGCAGAAATAAAGCTCCGAACTCATAAAGCTGCTGTTTGACTGCTGTAAACAAAAATACAGAAAAAAATAATATATAAGGAAATTACCGGTATATGACAATAATTCTATATAAAACTATAAATAAGAGTATTTTGATGTTGAAAAGAATTTACTTTTAAGAAACTATTTAAATTTTAATCTATCTATCTTACACACACACACACACACACACACACACACACACACACACACACACACACACACACACACACACACACACACACACTCGTGTCTGTGTGTATTTATGTAATGAGTAAATATAACACATTCTGCTTCCTGCTCAGCAGGTCGTGACCGATGTTACTGATGTTTTGACTGGAACAGATCAATAAGCTCACATTTATTAGGCTTCAGCTTTACTAATGTAGCAGTTCAGTGTAAAATGCAAAATAAACAAGTTACTCAGGTTAGTGAGTTTAATATATTATGAAAGTTTTATCGACTCTGGTTTAAAGGACAGACTCAAAACCTTCAGCAGTTGTTTTTTTCTGTTCATTTAAACAAAATAAATGTTCAAATCTTAAAAAACAAATATATCTGCAGGACAATCCTGTCATCTCAGAATATTACGAGATGCTTAGTCTGTGTAATTTGAATCCACGGGGAAACTTAATACAGGAATGAGTTTCTTTCTGCTGAAGCGTTTGGGTTTATTTTATGGTCTCGTACGAGTCTTGTGAGAACCTGTTTAGAGACCCAGGTATGACGCCATTATAGAGTTGTGAATGAACCTTGATGTCAATGTTTAGGAAGTATTTCCCTAAGGCTCCGTTGACTGATGTTGAAAATGCAAAATTTTTGTCTTCTTTGTAAAAAAAAAAGAAGGTGTAAAATGAGAACAGCTGCAGTTAATGATCTTTAGTGACAGTAAAGTGGAGCAAAAAGGGGGAATTTTCAGTCATTTTCATGTGTTTCTGTGCTAAAATGATAGTTGCCATCTTACCATTACCTCCTGTTCAGGACTGATAGGCTAACAGCTAGTCTAAGAGACCTAAAAGCATTGGTGCCACCTTGGAATGGTTTTAATCTCCTAAATTTCCCTGGAATTCATGCAGCAGTGTTCCATAGCAGCAGCAGAATGGACTTCTGCAGGAGTCGTATGGACACCGAATCAAATTCAAAATGGCTGAAAAATCTCTTTCATTTAAAATCTAACATTAATTTCTATCAAACATGTAATGTAGCATATTTCCTGCAGCTGTAATGATGCTTCTTGAGTTTTATGATTATTTTGCTCACATTAATACAAATAAACAGACTTCACGCTTTTCATTTGAACTGGTTCATTTTCATACAGACTGTAGCTGTCCGACACGACTTGTTGCTGCTGATCACTCAGAGAGCTCTTGGCACGAGGCCACATCGGGAGGGGGGGAAAGGAAGCGTTTCAACGAATCCTTTCCTTCTCTGCGTTTTATCTCGGCCCGCCAGAACATCCTGTACCTGATCAGAGCCAGGCACAAACCCGACAAACCGGAACGCTGGGAATTCAGACTGCAGATCGGTGCTGATATTGGGCTCTCCATTCTTCTTTTCTGCTTCTTTGCAAAAATTAAATCCCAGTGCTAAACGGTGGGTGTGAAGTAATGCATGGCACCAATCCAAGCATAATCTGTCTGATTGGGAAAGAAAATGTTTTCTTCTCTCAAATGGAAACGACAGATTATCACAAGGAGCTAAATGGAGACAACGTGCAGAGAAACTAACGAGGTCGGACCAAATACACCAAGTTCAGCTGGATATCTGCAAATTCAAACCCTGAAGGGATAAACTCAAAACTTCTGATGCTACATTAACATGTAGAACTTGTTCAACACCGCTCTGCAGATCAGATGCTTGTTTTTGTTACATCTTATGTTACCGTAGATCTGATCTGAAAGATGATGGTTTAACCTCATCAGCACAAATCTCCAGGTCAGAAACTTGTGTCCTGCATCAGCTGGGGATGAAACGGTTGGTTGCATACAGAGCCGTGCAGAAACCTTTGAAAGGGCACCCTCAGCCCCCCCCTCTGCATGTGCCTGGTTGTATAACAGCTGAGGCTCAGGAACTGTATCAGAGCACTGAAGCCACCACAGGTTGAGATTACTGCCAAACGACTCAAATTTGCACAACATTTTCTGCATCAGTGATTTCATTTCTATTTGACAGGCGTTTCCATGGTTACTGAAGCAGAACAACACACATTCACAACAGCTTAACCTCCTGAGACCCGAATTTGTATTTGGAGTGATGTAAAATAAAGCTAAATCAAAACTCTTAACAGGTTTTCTAGATAAAACTAAAAAGAGACGTTTTTACCTAAATCCGATATTAAATGTTTCTAAATAATAAAAGAAAAAAAACAAGGTCTAATTCGAAGAGAATAAAACATTTTAGTGAAAGATGCCAATGTGGATGCAGGGTCTCAGGAGCTTAAACTGACAACAGTATAAGCTAATGTGTGGATCCTTCCTGAACTCTGCAGTTCAGATACGCTGTTGATCCCTTCCTGGTCCAAATCCAGGCTGATGGAGCTGTTTGTCATCAAAGCTGAAAACCCAAGATCCTGACACGAGCAGCTGAAGTGATTTTCCTCTGTAGGGCCGCTTTCCCTCCTCATCAAAGGAAGTCAGCTGAGGCGGGTCAGGGATGCAACAAGGATGCATCCTGGTCATTTCCTCTGGAGGTTTTACTAGCGATTTGGAGGGATTACAGACATTTTGCCCTTCAGATTGGTTTAGCCAGGCTCCATTGTAGCCTCAGCAGGGCCACCATTGGTCTGTAACGTTCGTTTTTAGCCAGTCAAAGATTTATGTTTGTTAGGGGGGCTTAGTACCAGAGCTGCAATAGAAAAACTACAAAGATGGCGTCGCTCAGGAACAATTCAGTTTGAAACGGCGTTGGCATCAACTTTGGACGATTGGACTTTCTAACAGACACAAGCAGAGGCACGTTCATTTTAAAAAGGCATTTATTTGCTTTTTCTTTAACGGTGTGCGGCGAACCGCCCCGCTGACTGATTCTTGTAGTGATGAAAACATCATGTTGTTCATTGCTCTGATTGGTCCTAGCGTTGACCAATGGCATGCAGAGAATTTGAAAGACCGTAGAGAACCGTAGATTTTGCCCCACATCTGAGTGGTTTCAATGGGTGTGGGCAAATATACAGTTACACATATGGGATGGCTTGCCTGGCTAATTCAGCCTAAGATGAGCTGCACGAAATAGATGTACAGAATAAAATTCCATATTCCTACAAATGCCTAACTAATAAAACTACACCTGGAATTTCATGCAGCCAGTTTTACAGCAACGTTGCCTTTTTCAAAGAAATTCATTAAAACTAGAATCTTCTAATCTAACCTGCCTCCCGAGTTGTTTTAATAACGACAAGAAGAGCGGCCTGCGCCTGTCTGTTATAATTACCCGAGCAGATCGGTGTTGTGACACGGGGAACGGGGTAAAAACGTTTACCCTTGGACAGCAGACAAGCAAAAGGATCAACATCTGTCAGGCTCAAACCGTTCAGGTGCAGCTGTTTCAGCTGGTGTTTGATTAAAGCTTGTAAAAGCTGAAGCTTTTATGGCCGTATAAACAAACACGTGCTGATTTGGGAAGCACCTATTTCGAGTGGCTCGGGGGGCAAATGAAACATGACTAGACCAGAGTAGGTTGGCCTGAATCTGATCCAGTAACAAATTCCTCTTCCTGGCACAATACGTCCCGTCTGGAAGAGAGAAAAAGAGGGAAGAGTTGGAGCTCCACAACCATTAACCCTCCTGCAGGAGCCCACTTGCTACTGTTTGTTGGTTTTGGATTAAGATCCATTTAGTTTCTTCCAAAACGCACCATGTGCTGTGATTCTACAGGGCAGATTGCATAACGTGCTCCAAGATGGTTTTCATAAACAGCAATAAAATGAACAAGGACAAAAAAAAGGGCAGACGAGTCCAATCAGCATCTCATGGTTTAATTACATGTTTCAGAACCAACAACCATCCAGTTTAACGTCTGTCGGTTTGGAAAAAATCTTTAGGACCGCAAGGGCAAAAGGTTGTTGTTACACATAAGGACTGATGTAATGACACTCACAGAACATCTTTACTGGATGAGCCCAATTCAAGATGGCCGCCACAGATAATTTACGTTAGCAGACAGAAAAGGCTGCAACTAAGATCCGGTTTACACGGCAAGAACTTTTTAATCGTCGGATGATTTTTATACCACGAAAAACGGCACACACGACAATAAAACTTCATAGACATAACTGTTTTGCTCCTACAGTGTGTGGTGTGCGCCCATGACAAACACTACACAAGAACCAATTTCACACACACCAACGTTCCCCGGTCAGACGGGAAATATTACGAGATCTTGTAATATCGTGACTTGGGAGTAAAGTGAGGAGGGGTGTGCAGTGTGCTTCAGTCACCTTGTTTTCTGATCGGCCACCTAACATGTTGGATATCCCAGACACGTCCCGTCCTGAGCGCTCTTAACACACCCCACACAGGAGGAATATCTGATGAGATCATCTGTAGAGCCATTACAGTAATCAGGCGTGTCCTTAAGATTGTTGGAAGGGGACGATCGGGTCAAAAATTGGCTTAATCATCCTGCCGTGTGAACCGGGCCATCTTAACTGTTTGAGATGTTGACAAAAGCAAAAACAAGTCATGTGTTCTGCAAGGAAGTCTTGAGATTTTTAACTTAAGTACTAAATTAGGATTTTTAAGTTCTAATTTGCAATTTACAAAATGAGAAATGTGTTAAATAAACTGTGTGTTTATATGATGACATCAGCAAAGGTGCTGCTGATGTCACCTTTGCCAGTAAATATTACTGTTTTTTATTGACTTTTTAGAGTTTTTTTTTCCAAATCAACTAGAATCAAGTCATCAAGAATCAGACTCGAGCCCAAGTCGTGACTCGGGTTCACAATGACCTACAGTTTGATGTGGCAGAAGCTAAAAAGTTTGGGATCATGTACAATGTCTTTGTTTCCATGGAAACGTACACTAAAACAAAGAAAATGCAGCCGTAGTCAGAAAAATAAGATACGATTTACTGCAGGAATTCTAGACCGGCAGAACTCCGACATCCTAAATGTGATCTGAAGAGAATCCACTGGGATCGCTTCCTACGAGACAAGACTGGCTCCATAGAGATGGTAAATGGTCTGTATTTGATATAGCGCCTTCTAGAGTCCTGGAACCCCCCAAGGCGCTTTACAACACAATCAGTCATTCACCCATTCACACACACATTCACACACCAGTGGGGATGAGCTACGATGTAGCCACAGCTGCCCTGGGGCGCACTGACAGAGGCGAGGCTGCCGAGCACTGGCGCCACCGGTCCCTCCGACCACCACCAGCAGGCAACGTGGGTTAGGTGTCTTGCCCAAGGACACAACGACAGCGACAGATTGAGTGGGGCTCGAACCTGCAACCTTCCGATTACGGGGCGAGCACTTAACTCCTGTGCCACCGTCGCCCTAGAGCTTCTTTGTTGCGAGACATTTCTGAGGTCGTTCGGCTCAGGAGATGCAAACGCCTGATAACTGGCCTCTGTGAAAATTTAGATTTTCTTCCTCAAAAATCTTGTTTTTTGTGAATTGTTTGAGATTTTTATTTGATCCCAAACTTCCCAGCTGGGGTGGATTTTTGGTCAGGAAGAGTTCGGCCTTTTCCCAAACCTGGTTTGACATCAAATAGGTTTAAATTCATAATAGAAAAATCTGGTATATGACAAATAAAATAAATCATCTTTTCATTCCAGACAGAAATAAAACAAACGATGGAATAAAATTATTTATACAGAAAATGCTTTCATTAAATCTGATACGTTGAAGGAGAATCACTAAACACGACAATCAGGAATGTAAAAAAAAAATTAAACTGATAAACATCAGAGAACAAACAGCAATCAGGCTCAAATTCACAACACAGAATACATTCTTGGTTCTTTAGACTCTTAAAGCTGAATCATCACTTATTTCATTTGTCTACATTAACTGGCAACTAAAACTTCACGAAGTCCTAAACTGCATAATCAGGTGTTTAAAAGCATCTTGTACTGTAATAAGAGCCGTCTTGGCATGCCGTATTCAGTATGATGTCACTTTTCTTCAACGGACGACATCATTTCTCAATAACCTAAAAGTTGGACTCCAGCAGATAAAAAACAGCAACGAAAAACAAAAGTCGAACATGTTTAAAAGTCGAACATGTTTAAACGTTTGAATCAGATATTTGGTCATTTATTCCAGAAAATTCCCACAGAAACTCAAAACTAAAGGGGGGATTTTGTCCCAACTAACCATAACGTGTTACTTTCTATTGTAAAATGAAATAAATGATTTTTTATAGCTTGGAAAACAGAAACATTCAAATGAAATCCACAAATTAGGAGCCGTGTGTCAAACACGGCCATCAGAGCTAACACAGCTAGAATCTTATTGGACGAGAAAAGAGTGTGTCACACACACACTCACTCTTAAAATGTCCCTTTTCTGTGTGTGTGCGTGTGCGCGCATGCCACCTCTATGGTTGATCGCGTTCCTTCAGAAAATTTAATGCAGGAAAACAGAATCTGTCCATGCAACAGAGTGCCAGTTAAAGATATATTTATGTAAATCTAAAGGATTTTACCTACGGACCCTACCTGCAAACAACATCTCTAAGTGGGCGGGGTCTCTAGAAACAAGAAGTCCTCTGACTGGAGCTAATGGCTAGCTGGACGGCTAACTAATTAGAGGCTAATTTCTCGTATTAAAAAAAAACCTCCTGTTTCAAATGTTCAAATGCATCAGTGTGACGTTTTGGCTTAAGTGTAAATAAGAAAATACTAAGAACAGTTAAACATGCCTACGTAGTATATTATTATATTAACAGTAAAATATATTTATTTTTACATGTTATCACTTTATCCTTTCCTTTCCTTTATTGACCGAAATAAAAGGTGCAAAAATAAATTAATGGTGTGGAAGTTAGAGTGTTGAATAAATAAACCTGATGGATCAGATGAGCCGACAGCTAGTCACAGTGGGGCCGGAGCAGAATTGTGTCCAATCACAAACTCTCCGAGCTACGAAATCATAAATTATTTTTATTGCCACAAATTTAATATTCCTTAATTATTCCAGCCAAAGAAAGGGATTATGAAATCCCACCGAGTTGCTGTTAGCTAGCTCTGTGGCTGCAAATAACCTGCTGGACCAAGGCAATCCAACATGTTGAATATTCTCGGTTTGTTATCCGAGTGTTGCCAATGTGGTTCCAACACACCAAGCACGGCATAAATATATAAGATTACCTTTAAGGCAATAGAGACAGACCTGGGACAATCAATCAATCACAAATCTGTGCGTGAACCAGGCCTAACTAATCACTAACAGATCTAATCTCTGTTCCTCTTATCTACAGAAGTTTGGAATTGTCTGGGCTGGACGGAACCTGTGACACTGTCAAAATGGCGGTGGTGGGAACCTCCCATTTTGGTACAAAAACTTATAATTGGAGCCTATGGACACGAATTGTCCAGTATATATGTCGATGCGGAGAACACGCAGCACTAGGCCGATAGTCAGAGAGGTCATGTGGGGTGGAGGACTCATCTACCTGCTTCACTAGAGGGACGGTTTGTTGTGGAGACGAGCATCTCGGAGCCGTTTCACTGGTAAACAATGGCTCGTGAAATGCCTCGCCATTTTGACTCCAACTTGCTATGGAGGTGTGGCTTAGCCCGAGACTGGCTATGGCTGACATCATACAGGGTACCTCTCAGCCATTGGCCATGGATGATTCAAATTCAATATATTACAGAGTTGTAACCTGAAGATGGCGCCCACGCTGATGGTTTTAAGCTGAATTATTCCATTTTAAATAAGATGCGCTAAAATTTCACAATAATGACTACACCTGCCTACAGCACTATTAGACACTCATTAATACATTTTATCAGTTGATTTGGGGGTGACTTGCTCTTTAAGCTTGTTAAACAACTGATGTCACAGGTTAGTGTTTTAAACAGGAAAAAGGTTAGAGTTCATATACGATGCCTGACTCATAAGTGAGCAGGAGCTGCCAGCAAGTTGAGTCGTCTCTAAAATCTGAGTCTGAATGGGACGAACGCCAGAAACACGCTGCCAAACAACAAAAAACCAACGTGTTTTTGATTCCTCTCTTTCCTGTTATGTTAGTACTCGTTGGACTAAAGACCGCATCTCATAAGGTTGCAACTGCAACTAGCTGGAGACATAAAACAGGGTAGAAACGTGCAAATTTTCAGTTGGAATGGCCCTAATGTTCGCAGCTAATTTTCAATCAGGTGTGGAGAAAAAAATGTTCAAACTGTATCACCAGCTAGTCCAAAAACACTCTTGAACACACAACTGTGTTCAGCTTAGTGATTTTCTAAATATTTCCCCAAAATTTCAGCTTCATATCTTTTCTAAAAGACGTTGTAGATTTTACTCAAGCTGATTTCTCGACCAAGTGGTCGACTGGACTCCGTTTGTACCCTGATGAATTCGTATTCCAGCAGGACAACGCAGTGTCACATACAAGCTGCTGAATACATGGTCGTGTTGCATTTGACAAAATTACAAACAAAATTTTCTCTTTCACTTTGGCTCCAAATGTCTTAAGTTGTTTGTCCCGATGTATTCTCGACGTGATTGCCAGACCAACGTCGACTCATAATTGTGACTGAAACCAAAACATTTCCAGTGACCTGATAGCGAGGACCTGAGATTTGTCCAAGAAAACGTAAGAACTATTCCAGCCGCTGCTCCTTAACATCTAGAGGGGCAGGTGAGGTGGTCTGGGCATGCCTCCTGGTCACCTGCCTTTAGAGGTTTTCCAGGAACGTCCTGGAACTAGGGAGGAAAACCCAGGGAAGACCAAGAACATGAAGGAGGAATCATGTGTCCTCTCTAGCCTGGGAATTCATTCGGATCACCCAGGAGAAGGTGGGCATGCCTTTGGGGCGAGGAATTTATCGGCTACCCTACTGAACCAGTTAACCCCACGACCTGGTCTAGGACGAACCACAGGAAATGGATGGAATACAAAGAATTCAATACCTCCTGGAGGCCCAGTGTGATACGGACTGAAGAGTTGGGATGACCACAAGCTTCCCACAGGAAGGAGTTTAAACTATAACGCTCCATGCTGAGCTGTCTGAATCAGAACAAGCAGCTGAAATGTCTCCTCAGCCTTCATTAGTGTCTACAGGAGAGATTCACCAGTAAACTAAACAAAAATCAGCTGTGTTCATGATCTAAAACATGCAGCAAACGTGCTGGAACCAGACTGCAGCGTCAGATATGTCAGCTCAATATTTTTCCAGCAGACCGGACCGGCACTCTGAAGCTGCAAGTGGAACATTCTGGCCACGGGGGCTATAGGGGTCATTTTAGCACAAACTGGCTCAAGAAAATGATTTAAAAACGTGAAAAAGTTGCAAAGTATCCATTTAAAATCAAAAGTCTAAATTAAAATAAGCTGCTCCTACTGATGATTATCGTTACACTCACAGAGTGAATTAACACCACGTCTCCATACACTCACATGTGCAGCTCTAACAACACACAGGAAACAACTTTCATTGTTCAAACCCTCCGAGCGCTGGGAGCAGCAGGTCCAGCTCCTTCTGTGCTTCTTCATCCTAAAATAAAAACAAATAAAAAAGCTTATGAAAGCAAGAACAGGTTTCTGTAAGTGTCATTAAGGCAAATCATGATGGTCAAGCCACCCTTTCAAAATAAAATCCAGGCAGATCATGTTATAACGGGATCATTCTAATATAACATCATTAATGAACAACGCGACCTCTTTGGAGACGTTTTTCATGGAACGAGCCGATTCACACATCTTTCTGGCCAAATCCAGGCGTCCCAGGTCTTTATAGCACTGCCAAAGAAGAGATAAACACTGCAAATGAGTTTAAAAGGAACCAGATAAACACAAACCAGATGTTTACGACTCACCTTAGCTAGAAACACATAGTTGAGTTTAGAGTAAGCAGGATGGATTTCTTCCACCTGGATAATGAGGAAAATACATTAAAGATATTTCATTTATTCTTCAGGAACAAACTTTACAACCAAATATTAATATTTTAGAATATAAAATAGCATTAAACTATTGTTTCTATTGTAACAATGTCCTGTTTGACTCACTGATGGTGACGTTTGGAACAATAACCTATCTTCCTGTTGGTTTGGTTTTAACTTTTCCTGCTGCGTAGCGTTCAACTCGTGCTCAGCGCCAAACGTTTAGTTAGTTTTGATGTTCTGTCTAAAAGGTCACTTTATTATTTTAAAATATCATTCTGCGATGCGAGTTCATCATCGAAGATTCGTTGATGAACTCGCATCTTTGTTCTGCTAATGTCGTTTTATTGGTGGACATTAGCTGAACGCTAACCTAACGCTAGCTCACTTCCTCTCTTGCTCTAGTTGACTCACATTTTCTAGTAATTGTGACTCGATAGAAATTGTTTGGATTTCTCTGCCATAAATGTGTAGCGTTAAAGGTTGCAAGCGTTGCCACAACAACTGTGTAAAACTTGTTTTTTTTTAAATATGACGGGTCAGGCTTAGTTTCACATGCAACCCCCATCACCTCAGTTAGCCGCAGAAAGAAAATAGACAGGAAATGGTTGAGTCAGGAAAAGGTATTTTGTTATTTTCTTACAAAATTTAGTAAAAAATATTAATTTAAAAAAATGGATTATGGACAAAAACACAGTATGAATGCACAAAAGGAATGTAGTCTCTTCTAGTCACAGAAAAATAAATTAAATTATATGTGGCCCCACCCACCTTGGCTTGGCCCATGGGAAGGAGAGAGCAGAGCTCGTTTTGGCAAACAGAAGCTAACCGTTAGCAACTCCACACTGAGGTTATTTGTGGCCATAAAACCTTAATGTTGCATTTTTACCCAATAAAATATGTTTTTCAGTATTCTGAGTTTTTGTTAACTCATTCACTGACTGCCGTTTCCTGACCAGAAAAGCCAGTCGCTGCCAGCGTTTTTACAGTTTTTTTTAAAGAGTTACAGAATGTTGCGCGCTAGGATGATGTTGATGCCAAAACTACCAAAACAAAGAGGAGAAGAATCAGGAAGAATCTGCGTGTTTCGAGCGTTATCTGTTCTTTCATAACTCGTTGTCGAATTGTGATCGGCAGAAGCTTTTCCGGTTCGTGCCTCACTTTTTTTTTACAGCAGCGGCCCAAAACGATCTCCTAACACATGGATTTTCTGCTCCCTGATCACATGACGTGTGACTATGGCGTTTAAAGCGTGCCACAACCCGTGCACGCGCATTGGGTCCACAGCGCGCGTGTGAACGGGACTCGCGAGCGGAAATATACATGGCGAGAGGTCATTTGTGCACTGAGAGGGAGCAAACTGTGTCTGTGAGCGCACAAGGATGTGCACAAGTGACAAACCTGCGTGCGCGCGTTGTCAACGAGCACACGGCAGAGGAAAACGTGCGCGCGCGGCAGCCTCTGTGCGCGCTCGGCAGCCTCTCTGCGCGCTCGGTTTCTGACTCCTGCTCGCTCGGCTGTAAGGGTTTTGGCACTCTGGAGGCGTGGCCTGTGGCAGATCTCCTCTTTCCTCTGATTGGTTAGTGTACCCCGCACTTTACCCTCTACCTATCTATATAAAAAAGTCTACTAGTCAAGTAGTTGCTGGCATAGCTCAGTTGGAAGAGCGGGTGACTCTCGCCCCGGAGGATCCGGGTTCGAGGCCGGGCAAGGACAATGCAGTAGATGTCATGTTGATTTTTCTTAATTTCAGGTATTTTACAGTTGTGACCGTTCAACTGTCATTAAACGTCCGAATGTTTGCTGGGCAGTGTTTTAAAAAGTGCACATAAGCTAGATGGTTTTAACCATATAAAATTACATTTTTTGTGATACTGGAAAAATACATACTGAAATAAAACTACTGATTGAAAACTTTATGACTGTGGTTGTACAATATATGACTCACTAATACACTGCAAACTCCCTTAGAGTGGGGCTTCCAGAGAGAGAGAGAGAGAGAGAGAGAGAGAGAGAGAGAGAGAGAGAGAGAGAGAGAGAGAGAGAGAGAGAGAGAGAGAGAGAGAGAGAGAGAGAGAGAGAGAGAGAGAGAGAGAGAGAGAGAGAGAGAGAGAGAGAGAGAGAGAAAAGTTCTTGCCTCATTAATGAATTGTTTATTTTTTTCAGTATTTAATTGACAAATTATCCTTTCAAATAATTAATTGATGAGTTACATAATTGTCCATTTAGAATTGTTGAATGGACTGAGTCAAGTTTGGTGCACTTTATATATTTCAAAACATGTTTTTTTTTTATTTTAATGATGCATATAAATAATTTAAATGTTAATTTAATGAAATATTTCTATTTTTTCATTACCTCACCCTTGTTTTGACAAAAACGGGACCTTGCTGGATAATATCATGGAGAAACTATTTGTTCACAGTACATGGCTCCGTAAGGATCTGTGTACCAAAGGAGGAGATACTCAGAAATCTGTCTGCAGATTGTTACAACCCAGACTGGAAGTGGCGGGCTGTAATAAGAAAGGAGACCAAACAGAGGAGTGGGGGTTCAACAACTGATTTATTTAACAAAAGTAAGGATTTACTAAAGCAAGTTAGTGAACAGAAAATGGCCATCTCAAGGTTTTACTCGGATGTCCCTCAGCAGGGTGCAGCACTGTTGAAGGTCATCTGAATGAAAGCTTGATATGCAGTTTCTTTATGAAAGTGTGTAAATATACAGTGTGGTTGCCGTACATATGTTGAGGTTCTCAGACATCAGGCTTCTTTGCCCAGGCCTTCACTAGTGGGCTATTTTAAAAGTTGGTAAGGAGAAAAACCACAGCATATAGCTGATTGTTTACAAATGCAAGGAGGGGAATAACAATCAAAATGCTTGTGTTCTTGGACCAGATGAATGGAGCGCTCCACATGCACTCAGAGATGTTATGGCTTCTGTTTCTATAACTTTACATGCAGACATTTGAGGTTTGCCAGAAAGGAAAGCTGGCCTGTACACTTTGCAGGGCACAATGTCATCAATGAAGAAACCCCTGTCTACCAAGATGACCATCTCTAGTTGTAGCATTTTCAACACACCAGATTCCCAGGTTGGTCGCTGATAGTTCCAGCATACAGTGCTGAGACAAAGGTCACTGGCCTATGTGGCACAATCCAAATGAGCCTCTTCAGAGTGCAGTTGAACTTGAGGAAAATATATGACTCTGGAAGAGAGGGGAATATGGCCATTGACACTTCAGATCAGTGCAGTCAAGAATTACTGGTGTTTGGGTAGTCCTGAACGTGTTGTGATGCCCCCACCGTCTCATTGGGTTTTCATTTGTGTTTAATTGTGTTTTTCTTCTGTTGTAGGCAGCTGGTTAAGCAGCCTTGGAGGCACCTGGGCTCAGGGTGTGGTGCTGCCTACAAAGCCTACTGTTTTTCTGCTTTCACTGGGTCTCTCCTGTGTGGTGGAGAGTCCTCACTGGCCATTTTCTGTTCACTAACTTGCTTTAGTAAATCCTTACTTTTGTTAAATAAATCAGTTGTTGAACCCCCACTCCTCTGTTTGGTCTCCTTTCTTATTACAGCCCACCACTTCCAGTCTGGGTTGTAACAATCTGCAGACAGATTTCTGAGTATCTCCTCCTTTACACAGATCCTCACTGAGCCATGTACTGTGAACAAATAGTTTCTCCATGATATTATCCAGCAAGGTCCCGTTTTTGTCAAAACAAGGGTGAGGTAATGAAAAAATAGAAATATTTCATTAAATTAACATTTAAATTATTTATATGCATCATTAAAATAAAAAAAAAACATGTTTTGAAATATATAAAGTGCACCAAACTTGACTCAGTCCATTCAACAATTCTAAATGGACAATTATGTAACTCATCAATTAATTATTTGAAAGGATAATTTGTCAATTAAATACTGAAAAAAATAAACAATTCATTAATGAGGCAAGAACTTTCTCTCTCTCTCTCTCTCTCTCTCTCTCTCTCTCTCTCTCTCTCTCTCTCTCTCTCTCTCTCTCTCTCTCTCTCTCTCTCTCTCTCTCTCTCTCTCTCTCTCTCTCTCTCTCTCTCTCTCTCTCTCTCTGGAAGCCCCACTCTAAGGGAGTTTGCAGTGTATTAGTGAGTCATATATTGTACAACCACAGTCATAAAGTTTTCAATCAGTAGTTTTATTTCAGTATGTATTTTTCCAGTATCACAAAAAATGTAATTTTATATGGTTAAAACCATCTAGCTTATGTGCACTTTTTAAAACACTGCCCAGCAAACATTCGGACGTTTAATGACAGTTGAACGGTCACAACTGTAAAATACCTGAAATTAAGAAAAATCAACATGACATCTACTGCATTGTCCTTGCCCGGCCTCGAACCCGGATCCTCCGGGGCGAGAGTCACCCGCTCTTCCAACTGAGCTATGCCAGCAACTACTTGACTAGTAGACTTTTTTATATAGATAGGTAGAGGGTAAAGTGCGGGGTACACTAACCAATCAGAGGAAAGAGGAGATCTGCCACAGGCCACGCCTCCAGAGTGCCAAAACCCTTACAGCCGAGCGAGCAGGAGTCAGAAACCGAGCGCGCAGAGAGGCTGCCGAGCGCGCACAGAGGCTGCCGCGCGCGCACGTTTTCCTCTGCCGTGTGCTCGTTGACAACGCGCGCACGCAGGTTTGTCACTTGTGCACATCCTTGTGCGCTCACAGACACAGTTTGCTCCCTCTCAGTGCACAAATGACCTCTCGCCATGTATATTTCCGCTCGCGAGTCCCGTTCACACGCGCGCTGCCATGTATATTTTCGCTCGCGAGTCCCGTTCACACGCGCGCTGTGGACCCAATGCGCGTGCACGGGTTTTGACAGGGGTATGACGCGATATGTGACGAAGGTTGGCTTTACAGCTGGGATGTTTGTTCACACCATGCGGGGGCTCGTCCAACGCCCACACAGTAAAAACTGCAAATGATGACTTTAGTCTGCCTTTGTTAACTCATTTACTGCCAAATGATGACTAAAGTCCTCATTGGCAGTAAATGAGTTAACAAAGGCAGGAAGAGTCATGTTGCTGTTAGCCAATCCGAGACGTTTGAATATTATTGAGTACGACTCATAATCCTATTGTTTTCTGTACCCCTCCTGTCACAAACTTCCACCCCAGAACAGAAGCACCAGGGCTTTTTTCCACAAACAGTTCTTATTAAATTTTAAATCCTACCTTTAACATCGTTACTGTGAGAGTTTCATGACTGCGTATTTAAAGAGCAAGTCACACCAAAATGAACTGTTTCTGCTGGTAACCTGTATGAATGAGTGTCTAATAGCGTTGTAGACATGCAAAGTAATTATTTTGCCTTTTGGTGCATTAAAAAAAATTAGCCTAAAAACCTCTTCAGTTCAAAACTATTCTACACAAATTTATAACAGCAATTTGAAATTTGTCACGTCCATTGGATGAAACATCCCACGCTACGTGACCTGGTCCAACGCTAGGTCATAAAAGCATCGGGGCCTTGGCCACACCTTGTAGCAGTTGGGACTCAAATTAGCTGCAAGTGAGTGCTTATGCTATAGCTTAGCTGTTGTTTAGCATTAGTACTGAGTCAGAGTCCTAGCTTCTGGTATTATAATAATTTAGTTTTAATAGCTTGGCTGTTGGAGATAGTATTTTAGTGTTTTTTACTTGCGACTCCTTCACCAATTAGATGGAGATGGTCAGGGTATCTACATTGAAATGGATATGGATGGATATTAAATGGCTTGTATTTGATATAGCGCCTTCTAGAGTCCTGGAACCCCCCCAAGGCGCTTTACAACACAATCATTCAGTCACCCATTCACACACACATTCACACACTGGTGGTGATGAGTGTAACGGAACGGAAGACTGTGTTTTTTTCCCTTCTTTGCTCAAGACTAGTCTGCATGAGATATAACTCAAGGTCTCATGCATTCCTTCTAACCTGCGTATTTTCAGCTCAACAGAAGAACGAAGAATGAACTATTTTCTAGTTTTATTTATTTAATCAAAGAACTCTATTTTAATAAAGCTAATCCATCAAAGTGTTAGTCAATAAATGAGATGTGACCGACCTGTGAAATCAAAATATTAATTACTTTAATATGATCCTATAGAATATAATAAGTACTGTGACTTCAAGTGTTCCAACAGGACTCATTTCACGAAGTGTTAAAAAGACATAAAACATTACTTTCACTGATCCAATCAGAATCTTACAGATCTGATGGAGGCGTGGTTCTGATGGTGTTTGGTAATTTTCATTCGACAATAAACCATAACATCCGAGGTATAAAACTATGCCACGTCAGCTCTAACACCAGTTCAAAGCGTTCCAGAGAAAGTGACGGAGTGGCCAATCCTGATCTAAGCTCTTTAACCAAAAGAAGAACGACAAGCTGAAAAATCCAGTCGCTATAACAACCAGTAGCAACAGCTCCTTTCAGAACAAAAGCTCCACCTTCCGGACCCAGGCATGGGTCTCACCAAACGCCAATAACTTGCCGTGTACCCGGAAGTAACTCAAGACGGGTCTGATCGGAACCGCAGCTTTTCCTACTGGCTCGGTTCCAGAGAGGGTCTACTGGACCTCGATATTCCTGATCTACAGAGGACTTCCACGAAGGGTAGGTAGACCGGCATGATGGTGTCTCATGTGTTTCTGACGTTAACTAAAGCTTACTGCAAAAACAACACCTTCAGTTCCCGTCAGAACAATCGCTTCTTCGGATTTGCTGGTTCTGATTTAACATCACACGTCATCCATTCACCGTCCCATCCATTTTTAGTTACACCATATATTTCGTTTAAAGTCAGTCTAGTTGAAATTGTTAGTAATAAAATTCTTAACTTTTAAACTTGACTCTCTCTCTTCTGTTGTCTCTGAGTGAATACGCAACGGTTATCTAATCCCTGCATTAAAAAGATCCAATCTTCTGGTTTAAATAACCCACCGATCCGTAAGGTGGATTTCATATACCCTATGGAATCCCACGCCTTATGGCTCATTAAATAACTGTAATCTATTTCATTACATGAGCTACATTGTAGCCACAGCTGCCTTGAGGCACACTGACAGAGGCGAGGCTGCCGTACACAGGCGCCACCAGTCCTTCCGACCACCACCAGCAGGCAAGGGGGGTTAAGTGCCTTGCCTAAAGACACAACGATGGCGACAGACTGAGCGGGGCTTGAACCTGCAACCTTCCGATAATGGGGCGAGCACTGTCCTCCTGTGCCACGATTGCATATATTAATGTGTTCATCTACACATGAAAGTTTAGCTGCATCATAGGATCAGGATCCTTCGGCTTATTGCACAACTTGCTTTCCTGTAATGGACATGGGGTAATTACGGGAGTGACAATGTGGAGGCTGCGAAGCGGCGCTCCGCGCGTTTAAGGGATGTACTTGTTCAAGTTGAACAGCACGTGTTCTCTAGGTCACAGCTGGCGTGTTGCAACAGATGTAATCAGATTGATGAGTGAGACACCAGGAAGAGGCATGAACATGATTACTGGCCAGGAGCAAAAGAGTTTTCTCTGCTATATAAACAAAGTGCATTATGGGAACACAGATCAGACCTCTCTGAAAACACACCACTGTCTGTTTTTAAAGGAGCAACCTCGACTTTCACCGGAGCGCCAGATAAACACGAGAGTGCTCCAAGTGTTTTTATTAATCAGTAGGGCTGTTCAATTAATCAAATTTTAATCCCAATTTCGATCTGAGTTTCGAACGATTACGAAAACAAAACGAGCCGATTATTTTCTCCTCCCTCTCGCGCAGCTCCAAGTTGCAAATCAAGCGCTCCTCCTATATTGTTGCCAACTTGTCAAATTAGTTGCTATTTCTAACATCTTTTCAGACCCCATTCTTGACTTTTTAAATTGTTAAAGTACCTAGCGAACAATGTAGAAGCGTCTCTGGTAACCCTTAGCTACTTTCCGGAAAACTGTCATTGACATTCCCTGCAGGTTAGCAAAACACTCCGCCTGCGCTCCAGACCATCTTTCCGGACATTAGGAAAGGGAATGATGTAGTGATGTGTTGATCGCCAAAAAACAAACAAAAACAAAAAAACCCTGAGCCAGCTTCCTCTTGTATTAAGTGGAGTGACTGACACAATGTGCACATGTGGTGCGCTAAACACACACACACGGCTTGCCCTCGATTGCTGTGAGACTGGGTTGGGGGGGGGAGTTTCCAGTGAAACTCCGATTGCAGTGGCTGGGACAATTATTACATTAAATGATGGGACCTGTAAATAAATATTTATAAATAGACAGAAATAAGTTTCTGACGCCGATGAATATAATCTCTCTGAGGACAGGTTGCTAGTGTACACACTCGTACAGCACCGCTTGACAGGACTAAATAAATATTATGCAACCTTTAGTGACCGTCACTAAAACACACATGTTTAAATGCTTTTTTATTTATGTTTTAAATGCCATTGTACAATTCAGTATTTACAAGATATTGGTTGGATATTTGGGTCTGTATTGGTTAGGCTTTAATGAGTTAAACCTCAGCCCTTTGGGTCATAACTATGAGCAAGTGTGTTGGCCTTTTTATACTAGGAATCAGGAGTTGTTTTTGTCATTATCTTGTTGCTTTCTTTTTCTTTTTGTCCTGATTGTGCCCTGAGCAATTTTATGACTGAATAAATAAACAAACAAATAAAATCAACATTAATTGAAAAATAGTCTTAAATAATCGAGATCTCAGTTTCAGTCACAATAATCGTGATCATCATTTTTGCCATAATCGAGCAGCCCTAGGGTAAACACAATTAAATAAACACTTGTGCATTTCAGTGAATAATTTAACTGTTTCTCTCTCAGGATAAACAGAAAGATGACGCTTATGCTGGGATAAAAATGGAGGATGAAGGAAAAATCTCCTGATAGTACTGGGTCAGGTCAGAACCACCTGAGAATCTGATTCTGTCCTATTAATCACCTTCCTGATCAACTATTTATCAAATATCCTATAAAGTTTAGAAGCTCTAATAAAACAAAATGTAATGATATTGATGGATTATGAGTGTAATTAACAAATCTAGAGTTTAATTTGGAGATCTGATAGTTTAACCAAGTCACTAGATGGTGTTTCCAAGAGCATGATTTATGTCCCATTTGGCTTTCCCTACTTAATCAACAATACTACAGAACGTTTCCAACATGCTTTGTTTTGGTGCACAGATACTCCTGTTCTGTCTGCAAACAGCAAAAACATATTTAAAATTCCACAAAGGCCTCCTTCTAGTTCAGAGGTCTAGGAAATTTCATTGAATGTGCAATCATTTAATGACAATAAAGGATATCTAATCTAATCTAATCTAACCCTGGTCCTGGAGAACTCCTGTCCAACATGTTTTAGTTTTTGTCTTGCTAAAACTCCCGATTCAGTAGTTAAATCACTTGTTCAGTAGGTCATGAAGCTCTGCAGAAGCTTGTTAATCACCTGCTGATTCAGAACAAAGTCACATAACATCAAAACATACCTTGAGGAAATTTTTCAGAGCGTCTTCCACTGATGCAGTTGGAGGTTCCCCAAAAAGAGTTGCTGCAACTTTCCTCTCAATCCAGGACAACTGAGCAACCTGAGAAACAGACAAAAATTCAAACATCAAAGAAAGACAACTCTAGTTCTCTGGGTTAGGACCCGATGGGGCTTAGTGAAGAAAAGTATCAAACCCTAGTTTGAGGGACTGTTTAAATTCACAGCAATAGCTTAGGAGGTTGAGCGGCTTGTCCAGTAAGCAGAAGGTTGCAGGTTTAATCCCAGCACCGACCAGAGAAGGCTGCTGTTGTGTCCTTGGGCAAGAAATTCAAAACACCTTGCTTGCTGGTGGTGGTCGGAGGGGCCGGTGGCGCCAGCATTTGGCAGCCTCACATCTGTCAGTGCGCCTCAGGGCAGATGTGGCTACATCGTAGCTCATCACCACCAGGGTGTGAATGGCTGATTGTACTGTGAAGCGCTTTGGGGGTTGTAGAACCCTAACAAGACGCTATACAAATATAGGCCATTTACTATTTGTATCACATTCAGACTTTTTCATTAGGAATCTGAACAAAATGATGCAAACTCTGAAAAGGGACAACCTTTAACCGTTTAAAGAGGAAATCAACTGTTAATAACTGTTAAGATGTAGCCTGGAAAGCCATCTAGTATATGTGAGCAGGGGCGGCGTCAGGCCCAGATACTTGGGCTCAAGCCCCGAATGTTTTATGAAAAGCCCCGGATCTAAATCATGGAAGTAACATGCAGTACCAAAGTCCAACAGAGAGGGAGCAGCTGGCAGTAGTTTGTATACAGCCTGCCTGAGCCTCCACCACTGAAGAAGAAGCTCTTCAGCTGCCGGCTTCTTCTACAGTCTCTGTCTGAAACGCATGAGTGAAGATGGACATAAGGACGTTTTTAGACCAAAAGTACTGCGACAGAACCCCAGCTTTGATGAGACTGGTGTTGACTCAGGTTTGTGAGTCTTATTTGAAAATATTTGTTGTGCTGCTGGTTTGCCTAAAGTTAGCTTACTATCAGGTAAAGTTGTTGGAGAAAGAAAGGGAATATTTACTATCATCTCACACTAAACACTAACAGGAACAATACTCTGCCCTGAATATGCTTAGAGTGCTTAGAGAGAGTAAGATGGCGCTTGTGCAGGTGCACGCTGCGAGCTGCTCGTCCTCTTTATGCACTGGTACCTTGCTTTTTACTGGTTTTTATTGGCTTTTATGCATTTTTGTTGTCTCTGATGCTTTTTTTGAATGGTGTGGATCTTCTGCTGACATACAATCGAGCTGCGCTGCTGAGGCTTCGTCCTTCCGTTGATATAGCGGGCTGCGCGTGCTGGGAACCTCACGGATGGCGCTGCTGGTTGGACTGCCCTTTTGCTCTCTCCCCCCAAGCTGTGATGTGTCGGCCCTCTGTCCGCCCCAGCTCGAGAAGGAAGCATCAGAGAAGACGGGGAAAGAGAGGTAGCCGGCGCGTGAGACGTCAGCCTGGATCCCTGAAGAAGCGGCTGGCCCGATTCAGCCCAGCTTCTGACCCGGTGGTTCCGAGATGTCTCCTGGATTACTTGGCGCCCTGCCCAGGGAACTTGGCCGGCCCTGAGGGTGAACTGGCACCGCGCCACGGCCGATCGGCTCGAAGATCTCGCCAGAGTGGGGTTTGCTGGGAGAATCTGCGCTCGGTTACGGGCACAGAGTTAAAGGAGACTGGGTCTGTGCGCGATCTCTGTGCTGCAGCCCCGCCGCAGACCCGGTTTGGTCTGGTCAATGCCAGGTCTGTGCTGAACAAAACTTTTATACTTCGTGACTTCTTTATTCAGCAGTTTTCTCTGCATCTGTGAGTCATGGATCCCGTTTGGTGACTCAAGCACCCTGCTGGAGCTGGTACCACCTGGCTGCTCCTGTTTTAATATCCCCAGATCACGGGGCAGAGGTGGAGGGCAGGTTATTGTTTTAAAATCCAGCTTTCCTTGTAAACAGCTTACACCCATTATGTCAATTTCTTCTTTAAAACTGTGCTTATTTGAACTGTGCATCTCCCCCCGCCTGCTCGTTGTGCTGATTTATCGCCCTCCAAAGACTGACTCTAACTTCCTTAATGATTTCTGTGATCTTGTGGCAGACTGCATCCTAAAATAAGACTATGTCCTATTTTTTGGTGATTTTAAAATCCATATCTGCTGTCCTGACAATGTGCTTGCGAAAGTTTTTTTTTAATTTGCTAGATTCATTCAATTTGACTCAATGGGTATCATCCCCAACTCATGCCAGGGGTCACACCCTGGACCTGGTTCTCTCTTTTGGTCTCCCTGTCATGAACCTTGTGACTTTGCCTCCTGTGTTCTCTGACCACTCTCCAATACTCTGTGATGTTGCCCTGCCATGTCCTGTCCCTGTGTGTGAAGCTCCAGCTACTAGGTTAAGAGCCCTGGATGCAGAAACTATTTCAAAGTTTGTGGACTGTATGTCTGTAAGGTTAGAGACCTTTAACCCAGATCCATCTAACATTGATCACTATTCACAACACTTTGATTTACTTTGTAATCAGGTCCTGGACGTAGTTGCTCCTCTCAAGCTTTGCAAGTCTCGGCCTAGGAGGGAGCCTTGGCTCTCTGATGTCACATGGGCTTGTAGGCGGGCGTGTAGATCATCTGAGAGAAAGTGGAAAAAGGATGGCCTACAGGTCTCGCGTGAGTTGTTCAGAGCATCTCTGGTTGTTTATCAGGATGCTGTGAGGGCTGCCAGGACGGCCTATTTTGCAGACATCATCGAAACAAACTCCAAGAATCCCAGGATTGTCTACAAAACACTGAACTCTGTTCTAGTGTATCAGGAGCCTAGCTCCATGTCTCCTACAGCTGCTGGAAACTCTGAAGATTTTCACAGATAATTTGTTCATAAAGTATCAAGCATTAGAGCAGCTATTTCTGGTAACTCTGTTGACCCTGTTCCAGTTCCTCCATCACCACCCACCCTGAGCTCCCTCAATACTGTTTCATACTCTGAGCTGAGTAAGCTTGTTGCGAGGCAGAAGCCATCTGGCTCTCCACTTGACGTTCTGCCGCCTCGTCTCTGGAAGGCTGCCTTTCCGTGTCTTGGCCCATCACGGTCAGATTATTAATTGGGCCATTCCCATCTGTACCGGGTCGGCCCGGGCCGGGTAGCGTAGGTTGTTTACATATCTGGGTGGCCTGGTATTTTTCCGGGCCAACCAAGGCTCATTCTCAGCCCTCTTCTCGAGGGGGTCTGCTTCAGGCCGACCAGGGCCAACACACCCACTGCTGACACCAAATTCACACCTTCCATTAGAGCAAGCCTCTGATTGGTGGGTAGAATCAGCCCACATGGGCTTAAGACAAGGATGTGGGGAATCAACCGGGCCAGGCTGGGGCCGACTGGGGCTACCCGGCCCGGGCCGACCCGGTACAGATGGGAATGGCCCAAATGGGAGCCTCAGCACAGGTGCGGTCCCAGTTGCTTTGAAAGCAGCAGTTATTCGGCCGACCCTGAAGAAACCTGGTGCTGATGTCTCTGTGATCGCAAATTACGGGCCTATCTCTACCCTGCCTTTTACATCAAAACTGCTTGAGAAAGTCGTTTATCAGCAGCTGGTCTCACATTTAGCTGACTCTGATCTGTTTGAGGTTTTCCAATTAGGGTTCAGGTCTGGCCATAGCACAGAGTCACCTCTACTGAGGGTCTTAAATGATATCTATCTATCACTAGATCAGGGTACATCTGTGGTGCTTCTGTTGTTAGATCTGACATCAGCCTTTGACACAGTCGACCACGCTATTCTACTCGATCGCTTGGAACGATGGGTTGGGATCAAAGGGTCTGCTCTGGACTGGTTTAGATCGTATCTCCACAACAGGACATTCTGCGTAAAACTGGGTGATGTTTTTTCTTCTTGGGAGGGGCTCTGCTGGGGGGTCCCGCAGGGATCGATCCTTGGTCCTCTTTTGTTTGCCATTTATCTGCTACCTCTGGGGTCAATCTTTCGTAAACATGGCCTATCATTCCATCTCTATGCTGACGATTGCCAGATTTACTCTCCATTGTGTCAGGAGAAAGGTCACTCTATCCAGTCCTTTGTGTCCTGTATTAACGAGGTGAAGTCTTGGCTAATGTCCAACTATCTGCATCTGAATGAGGGAAAGACAGAGCTCATTGTTTTTCACCCCAACAGCAGGAATGTGGGTCGTTATGTTGATCTTGGCCCTCTTTCTCCATACTCAAAACCAGTTATTACCAGTTTGGGAGTGAAAATTGATGCGGGACTTACATTTGAGGCTCACATCAACTCAGTGATCCGGTCCAGTTTCTATCACCTGAGACGCCTTGCAAATATCAAGCCTATGCTGTCGAGAGCCCACCTGGAGCGGGTACTGCATGCCTTTGTTATTTCTGGGCTTGATTACTGCAACTCTCTCTATGCAGGGTTGTGTCAGTCATCACTGCGTCGCCTGCAGGTTGTGCAGAACAGCGCAGCAAGGTTCCTGACTGGGACCAGGAAACGGGACCACATCAGTCCGGTTCTGACCTCCCTGCACTGGCTTCCGGTTTGCTATCGTGCACAATTCAAAATCCTCGTCTTTGTTTACAATTTCTTCCAGGGTGGTGCCCCCCCCCCCCCCCCATCTGGCCACTCTCCTGAACAAACATTCCCCATCACGTGCTCTGCGCTCCTCTGACCAAGGCCTGCTCGCTGTCCCTCATTCTAGGTGTCGTACTCGCGGGGACCGGGTTTTCTCAGTCCTAGCACCGTCACTCTGGAACCAGTTCCCACCCTCAGTTAGGCTGTCTCCATCTCTGCCAGCCTTTAAGAGTCGCCTAAAAACACACCTTCTCCGCTTGGCGTTTCCTGAATATGTTTGATTCGGCCCTCTTTTACGTTGAATTTCTTTCACAGTTTTCATTGGTTCACTCTATCCCTTGTTTTACCCATCTGTCCTGTACTAGAATGTTTCACCTTTTTTTTGTTGTAATTTGTATTTAGTAATTTAATTAGCTTTTATTTTTGAATTGCTTTTATTTCTGATTTATTCACTTTATTTGTAATTCTACTGTACCATGTTCAGCGCCTTGGGCTTCCTGACAGGGTTGCAGAAGGCGCTTTATAAATAAAGCTTTGATTGATTGATTGATTGATTGATTAATATGTAGCTTCAGATTAAAAATTATTTGGTACAAGACAAATATATATGATGTTGACTAGTGCGTGTCACGTGTGTGTGCGCATGCGTGTCACGTGTGTGTGCGCGTGTGTGTGTGTTAAGCCCCGGATCTTCTTCAGTCCTCCTAAATCCACCCCTGTATGCGAGTATAGTCTGACCCCAACCCTAACCCATAGACAGAGTTCGGTCGTGGGACAAAATCTACTGTTGTCTTTCAAACTGTCTCTGCATGCTATTGGACAACGCACAACATGACATGCTCGCCTCTACAGATGTCAGCCAATGGAGCAGTCCACCATTCCATTGAAGAAGACACAAATATGTTGCGTGCTTCATCCCGCAGCGCTCCTCTGTGAGAGCGGGGTTTGCACATGTTCCGCTGCTGTTTCTCACCAGTATCAGCTGATGGAGGACTCTAGTTCCATTGCGCCGTTCGTGTCAGCAGACACTGTAGGGTCGGGGAGGGGGGTGGGGCGGGGCATGAGCCCCTGGCAGGTGGCCTGGCAGGTGGCCAAGGAAAGCATGGCGTGCCGCCAGGCTTATAAAGTGCTGGGGGAAACCCTGCTCTATCTGTGAGGAGAGTGACAGGACTGAAGACCAGTGGTGCCAGGACCACCTCCTAAAGTAGATCCAGCTACGGGATCAGAGTTTCACCAGTGAAAGACTACTCAGGAATTTGGGCAGGCAAGTGTGAATGCATCTGTAGCACAGTGAGGAATTTAGGTGGATGATCTGTTGTCAGCAGAGACATGCTGATGTCCTGTTAAAGATCATCTACAGAAGACTAGGTGAGCGCTCCCACCAGTCCCATGTCCTGGCACTGTTCATGTGTGTGGAGGGTGCATTTCAGCCAAGGAAGTGGACTCAGAACCAGTTTAGCCTCAGAACAGCCACAAATAAAGAATGGTACCCAAACATCCTCTCAGAGGGACTCCCCTAACTGTCCAACAACAGGTTGGTGATAAACAATGTCTTCTCCAGCATGATGGAGCACTGGGCCAGAAAGACAATGGGTGTTTCTCAATGCCAAGGAACCTTGCCTTGATGTCTTGGCCCTGCCCTGGTTGCCTAGGAGATACGTCATCGGGAGCCGCCAAGGAGTGTTCTTATGTTCATGTTCTACCGAGGCGTGTGTTCTCCGTTTGTTAGCCGTTTAGCTAGCTGAGCAAGGATTCACGGGAGGCGTCTTGCTACCTAGCCTTGGTCAAAAATTACCCAGAATACACCGCTGTATTTTCAAAAATACAGCGGATCAGAAGCCGGCAGCTATTTCGGGGACAATTTTCAAGTTTAAAAGTAAGTCAACTAATTAAAAATGTTTTTTTTTTAGATCCAAAGAAGTTAGCTACGGTTGGTTAGTTGCTTATTAGTTTTAGCTTCGGTGGCTAGCGGGTAGTAACTCACTTATACATTTAATTTAATAAATATATACACAATTTAAAAAGTAAAAGGTCCTGTATATTGAAACTAATAGCCGCGCTCACATGATGCAAGTCTGTTCCATTTAACCGTTTCCTCTGACCAAGGAAGGACCATGTCCTCGTAAGCAAGGTGCCTGGTCTCGTAAGACATCGCCTCGCAAGGCGCCTTGACATTGAGAAACACCCAACATCAGAACTAAGTTGGATCCAGGAAACTCCCCAGAACTTCATCCCACTGAGAAATTGTGGTTCATCCTTCAGAGGCAGGAGGACAAACAGGAACCCAACATCGATGATGAAGAATGAGCTCCAACGGTCAGGATCTGGACCAGCAGGTCTGGGTGGACTACAGAAGGACCAACACTGGAGATACGGACTCTTTGTATACATTTGATGTAAATATCATGAAACGTGCTTAAATTTTATTACATGTTTGTAGTTCTATCAGCAACCATAGAGACATCTGATAAAAAGATCTAAAACACATAAACAGCATTCTGCCTGAGCTGTTCATCAGTGGTGACCACAAGACAAGACATAACATACTTCCAAATATCCTGCATCAACAAGAAGCATCTAGAGTGAAAACGTGAGCCAGATGAAAACAGGAAAGAGCAATCGCTCCGGAGCAATCTGATTTATGCCTAACAATGGCTGGTGTTACCCTCCCAAGAGGCTTTCTGTGCAAAACACAGAAGGAAAAACAGAGAAGTATGGAAAACTGTTAATGTGTGTGTGTGTGTGTGTCACGTACAGCATAGCACCAGCGGCCCAGCAGGTAGTAGGACAGCGGGTCCTGCGGCTTCAGCTCGATGGCTTTATCCAGATGATCCTGGAAGGAGACACAAACACTCTGTTGATTCACAATATGACGGCTTAGGGCTCCACGATATTGGAAAGAATTTACATCGATTTTTTTTCTAACCCTGCGATATACGCTCACTGGTCACTTTATTGGGTACACCTGGCTGGTACCTGGTTGGACCCCCTTTTGCCTTCAGAACTGCCTAAATCCTTCGTGGCATAGATTCAATAAGGTACTAGAAACATTCCTCAGGGATTTTGGTCCACATTGACATGATTGCATCACGCAGTTGCTGCAGATTTGTCAGCTGCACATCCATGATGCGAATCTCCCGTTCCAACACATCCCAAAGGTCCTCTATTGGATTGGTGACTGTGGAGGCCATGTTCAAGAAACCAGTCTGAGATGATTCGAGCTTTATGACATGGTTCATTATCCTGCTGGAAGTAGCCATCAGACCATCATAAAGGGATGGTCATGGTCATTGAACCATTGATACAAGGCAGGATGGATCCATGCTTTCATGTTGTGGACACCAAATTCTGACCCTACCATCTGAATGTTGCAGCAGAAATTGAGACTCACCAGATCAGGAAACATTTTTCCAATTTTGGTGAGCCTGTGTGAGTTGTAGCCTCAGTTTCCTGTTCTTAACTGACATGAGTAGCACCCGGTGCGGTCTCATGCTGCTGTAGCCCATCTGCCTCAAGGATCAACGGGTTGTGCGTTCAGAGATGCTCTTCTGCATACTAGGGTTGTCACGGTAACCGGTGTAGCGGTAAACCCCGGTAAAAAAGTTGACAATAATAATAACCGTCTTGTTTTCAAAAAATTTTTATCTCGGTGGAATACCGTGGCTGCGGTGTAGGCGCGGTGACCCTTACCAGCCACTGTATCATCAGCTGAAGTTGCCGGCGGCACATGCGCACTTTGTTTACAACCAAAACTTTCTTGAAGCTAAAGCTGAAATAATGGCCACAGGAGGAGACGGCAGCGCTCAGGACATTTATTATCCCTCAAAGAAGACAAAGTGGGAAGTACGGGCATTTTTTGGATATTTGAAGAATGCAGAGGGACAGTTGATAGAAGGCGGCTATCCTGTTTGCAGCACGTGCAGAAAAAGTGTGTGTGAAAGGCAGCAACACTTCAAATCTCATGACACACCTGCGTGACCATCACCCACAACTCTACAGTCAACGCAAGGCAAGCTAACGTTAGCGTTTTAGCTAAAATGAGTGATCCGAGGATTTGGGTTGAGGGAGAATGCAACGAGTCGCTATATAAAGCAGCCGCAGCACCGCTACCTGCATATAAACCGTGTCGCGGACACCCCCATGTTGAAATGACGCTATGCATTATGGGGCTCCCAGGGGCAGATAAGAGTTGGTCTCTCTCCGAGAATAATTATGAATTTAACAATGATTACTGCCTGATGACATTTTCCCACATCTGCAAAGCTCACTGGAAGGACACAAACCAAGGATGATATTTTCCTGATATAGGGTTTATTACTCAAGTAAGGGTAAAAAAGTATCTGATTAGAAGGCTACTTGAGTACTGAGTATCATCTGTTCTAACATTTTTAAAATGATGACATCAAACAGACAAAAAATAAGAAGTTATGGGCAAATATTGGTATTTTAAAGACTAAAGGGGAAAATGTAAACAAATAAACAACATAATTACAAAATAACACATTTTAGGCAAAATTTAGACACGAACTGAGGACAATATTTTCCTGATATACAGGGTTTATTTAGTTGTCTGAAAATGTAACACGTTTTAAAAAATACCGCGATAATACCGAAAACCGTGGTAATTTTGGTCACAATAACCGTGAGGTTACATTTTCACACCGTGACAACACTAGTTGTAACGAGTGGTTATTGGAGTTACTGTTGCCTTTCGATCAGCTTGAATGAGTCTGGCCATTCTCCTCTGACCTCTGGCATCAACAAGGCATTTTTGCCCACAGAACTGCCGCTCGCTGGATGTTTCCCCTTTTCTGATCATTCTCTGTAATCCCTAGAGATGGCTGTGCGCGATTATCCCAGAAGATCAGGAGTTTCTGAAATACTCATGTCTGGCACCAACAACCATGCCACATTCAAAGTCACTGACTTATATATATGAACAAACAGCATAAGGTGAGAATATTTTTAAAATGATGTGCTTTAGTTCTGTTGGCTGGCTGGAGGTTTATGTTTATGTATTTAGCAGACGTTTTTGTCCAAAGCGACTTACAAGTGATAATCGGCATGTTGCCCTTGAGGCTAACAACAACAATAACAACAACAACTTGACATCAATCATGGAGAGGAGGGAACAAGGAGTGGACAGTAGAGAGGGGGGACGGGTGCACGGCAAGTGCACGCTTCCTGCCGTGATTGTGGAAGTAGGGATACGGGCTTAAGAAGTAATATATTTTTCCACTTCTAGATTTGCACTTTTGGTGCCCTTTTAGAAAAAAACTCCAGATTTCTGCTTTAAATGACATTAGTAACCACCCCCACTAATCTATATAAACGCCGTCGGTGGACCTTACCTTAAAAATGTAGCCGTTCTTTATTCTGTTTTGTATCGTGTCATAGTCTGCCATAATTCCACACATAACAGCATACCTGTGAGGAGAAAATAAAACAACAGCATAATTTTTTTGTAAAAATTGACATAAAAAGTTGGAAGAATTCATCTTAGTTTTAATAATCAGCCTGGTTATAAAAAAAGCCTTTAAAAAAGATCAAAAGTGCAGGTTTTACTTCAGCTGAAATAAATGATGGTTGAGTGCATTTGAAACTCCTTATCATCACTATCCACACACACACACACACACACACACACACACACACACACACACACACACACACTGCGTGTTTTCAGCATCTCAGGACAGAATCAAGTGTTACGTAGAACGCCTCAAATCTGATGCAGGTAGTCCGGCTGATAGGATCTCACAAAGGGCGAAAACCTAAAACCCGTCTAAAAATAACAGACTTTAACTTTTATAACGTTAATCAGATGAACAGCTTATTATTGTTTTGGCTTCATTTCCGGCTTTGATCACCGTGAAAAAACGTGCGTAGGAAAACCCTTCAGTGGGATTTCAGCCGACATGTCTCTGTTATGAAGAGATGTCCCTGTTTTCTGAATCTCGTTGCCATCTGATGCGTCAGTCGGAAACATAATGCACTGCAGTTGGTAAGCTGTAATAGGTATGAGAGGTAAAACAAAGATGATCACACAAAATCTTGACTTTAAGCTAATTATTACATTTGTGCAACACACATACACACACACACACACACACACACACACACACACAAACACACACTGGAAAGGAAAGAAATTGGATGTTTTGATTTAGTCGTCAATTTTCAACAATTAAAATCTACAAAAACTGTTCAAGTGAAGTGGGTGAAATTTTGTGCAAAGCTTCAATAACACATTAACCATCATTACTCCCATTTACTGGAAAATCAACAATTGCTGCTTCAGAACACCTCGGGACGCCATCTCAAGCCGATGAGCTGTGTGCAACCGAGGCAAGATGTGTTTATTTTCTCAGGGCGCCCACACATCCACTGGCTGACGCTCCATTAGTGGAACGCTTCACAACAAAGATGTTATCTGTCAGCGGCTGTGATGCCTGGCCTCCAATGAAAACTAATTCTTGGATCTGGAGGTTTTGAGCACATCTGTCACTTCTGATTAAAAACCTCCAGAAAGAAGAACCAGAACAGAACCACGGTCAGCTTTCTTCAGAGAACTCCACACAGAACTTTTCACAGAATTTTGACATTTACGTATACCGTAAATCCTCTAATACAGGCCTGTATTCAATTAACGTCCGGGTCTCATATTTTGGCCGTTGTCGGAGTCAGCGGAGGTGATAATGGCCAGTTTCTTATTGTGGCAGGGTGGAATGTGGTAACAAGCAAGTACGGGGGGCGGTTGTGTCATCATCTCACTTTGATTTGCCAGTGATAGACCGCGAGGGTAACTTTAACCGTGCGGAGACAAAGAGGAGGCGAAAATTTGATATCAAGTTCAAAGAGAACGTGCTGATTATGCTGCAGAACACTCTGGGGAGCAGTAGCAGGGGTTGTATGAACTAGTCGACTTCACTATAGTGACTTTTTATGCCTGTCATCGACTAGTCGCTGTCACGTGATAATGACCGGCAAGATACAGCCCTCGGAAAAGACAGCAGCCTGCTGTCAGCAGGTGACAAGCTCCTGCGCTCGGGGGAGCAACGCGCTGTGCCAGAGCGTCGGTACTGACACGCAATCGTTCATGTCGGTTCATTTCCTTTAATGTTTTCTGTCTTTTATTTGCGCCTGATGTGTTTCGCTGCTGTGGAGCGGGGCGCATCACCTTGTCATCCGGTGATGCACCGATCACTGATGCGGCCGCCAAGCAGCGAGCACTCCGCTGTTTTTGCGGTCAGTAGATCTTTTAGAACTGCAGTTCAAAGGTAACTCATGAGGTGAATATGTATGAACCCAGGTAGCAGTTTCTCTTTAGGATTGAGAGGAGATGCAGGAAGATAATAAACAGGCAGGACAGAAAAATAGTCAAATAAAAACAAGTTGGTTTTTGTACCTGCTGGTTGCAACAAACAGACACCATTGAAGGTAATCACAAGTGAGGAACAGAAAATGAAATAATTATTTTAATGTTTAGAGCAGCAGGAACTCCGAGAGTCTGCAGGCGCATCAGTGAGTTTGCGGCCGCTGCGCAGGGGGAGGGGGGAGAGGGCTGAAGCAGAAACTACCGTTGTTAAAAGAAATGTGTTTAAATTTGAAAATGTGGGCGCAATTTTAATTGTCAAAAACTCCAGCGAACCATTAGTTCATTTTGCTCAATTAGAAATAAAGGCCTGCCTCTAATACTGGCCCTCCTTCCAATAAAGGCCTGGAGCTCGATGAGCTTGAGTCAAATACAGGCCCGGGCCTGTATTAGAGGATTTACGGTATTATATTAAATGTTTTAGTAATATTGGCTGGATCACCCATGCAACCACGAGGATGTAACAACTTTCCACGCAGCCCCTTCAGCTTTTTCCTCTGAACTAAATTATCACCAAAATACAGAACCTGCAGAACTAATCACATAGCATTGTAGCTTGTTAGCATTTGGTAGATTGGTAAGAGTTTAAAACGTTGTCGACAAGCTACACTAAATACTTTTGCTGTTACTCTCTGCTGAGAATATGTTGAAACACCCTGAATGCATCAAAGTGTCGGTGAGATGAGAAGACTAAGTCGAGCAGCATACCAGAGACGAGTGGTAATCAGCAGAATCAGAAAGCTCGGCCCACGGGAGCTGTATGAGGAACAGCTAAACACGCTACCGCAAGACATACTTTGGCTCGCCCTCGTTTTATTCTGCATGTAGAAAATCTGGAAGCGTCTCCTGAGACTCATGGGAGCAAAGGAGCAGGAGAGCTGCTGAAAATGGTTCGAGATTGGACCCCATTAATGGGTTGATATCAGCTGATGAGTTAAAGTTTGTCATTCTGAGTCATTAAATCAATGTCAAAATGTAAATATGGAGAGGAAAGGTGGAGGAGAAGAAGCTCGTCAGCAGCCTTGAATGCACTGAACCGTTTCTGGAGAGCCCTGGGTGAAGCGGCAGTAGAGATGTGAACATGCAGGGAGGTGTCCTAGCTGCTGCTCGCTATGCTTTTCTTTCTATTGTGAGCTGTAATACTACCTCTCCTCAACAGTCCAACACAAAAACAGTGAAAAATGGAGAAGGGAGGAGGAAGTGAGTAATAGTAAAAATGACAGGCTAACATGAGGTGAAGAATAGCACAAAGTTCATCCACATTTTTAATCACACCCCATTGAATTCCCCTCCTCCACTGGCTAAAGACAAAAGGCCCAAAGTGTCTGATGCTTTCACGGCAGCGCATCGATTTCAGCCTTCCAATTCAAACATAAAGAGCTCATTGAGACGCAGCGAGCGTCAGATAGGACTCCAGGCTAAAACCTGTACAGAAACAGGAGAAACCAAACTCATTTACTGCAGAATTGTTGGAGACAATGTGAGCAAGTGTGTGAAGATCCCTGACACACTTGGCTCAAGACAGAAAGAGGCGATACTGTACTCTTTGTGTGGAGGTACTGATCTGTGGCTGCACGGCGACGAGACGGAGATCACTGAGGTCTGAAGATTACGTGCAAACAAGCTTCCCAGAACGCCGAGCAGCTACTGATGATGAGGCAAGTGTTTGAAAAGGAGCTGTCCACTGCCACAGTCTGCCTGCTTAATGCAGGAGCTTTTCTACCATCCGTAACACAGAAAGAGCTTGGATCTACACAGAACGACTGAAAACACGGGTAAACAAAGCCGGTGATAAAAGTGTATAATCACAACTCCTTAGCTAATGCTTGCTGGGATTAAACAAATATGTACGGTTTGTATGGTCCAGAAAATTAGCTTCCTACGTCATGAACCCTTACAATAGAGAGCCTCAGGTTCCTCCCCTATGTATGTCCTGTATGGTCCACTTTGTCTAATATACGGTGGGAATTTGATGAGAATTCCCTTATCAATTCCAGTCGGCACAGATGACGTCACCACGCATGTTGCGTAACTTATGCAAGCTACGTTTCCCAGCTTAATTAAAAATAATAACGAGTTTTGACCCAATCCGAACAGTGAATATCAACGCAGCAGGAGCGGTGACGTTTACACGTCCTCTCCTGTTAATACTGCAGGTAACTAATCACCTAACACTACCTATCTAGTGTCATTTGCCTCATATACACACCTCCACACTAGCAGACTCCAGCGACTAAAGTCTGACCTGTGGTGAGATTTTGACCATTTTACAAAAGCTACAGCAACACTACATCGAACAGGAAGAAGACTGCCTTCACCAGGACCATAAAAGCGAACATTTGGAAAGAACTTTCCAACTGATACCAGGTACAATTGATCATTAATAAACTGACAGTTATAATGCAAGAGTCTGTGTGAAATTAGTTTTTTCTGACATCTATTTAACTACTCGTGAATTGATAAGGAATCGGATTAATAGACACAATCGACAACGGCATTGTTATAAGACAAACTTTTAAATTCCCACCCCTAGTCCAACACACTGAATCACACATATGCTGTACTTCAAATAAAATAAAAAGCAATGATGTGTTTCAACTATGTCTGTAAAGTAATTAGAGGTTTGTTAGCTTGTAAAAACGGGTAATTAAAGGGAAGGGAATCGAAAACTGATTCTTGTTGAGAACCGGTTCCCATTGTTTCAATTCCTAGGAATGATTTCCCTGATCAATTCCAGCTGGCGTGAATGACGTCACCACGCATGTTGCGTAGCTTACGGAAGCAGGAAACATGGAGTCTAAGCCGCACAAATGCTCGAAAGTTTGGTTATACTTTACAAGAAAGGATGACAACAGGGAAACTTGCAATACTTGCAAAGTAGATATTTCATCAAGGGGATGAATCACTACAAATATGCAAAAGCATTTGGGCACAAAATATACAGAAACTTAAAGTAATTCATGTGTTTTTGACCCACTCCGGGAATCTCAACGCAGCAGGAGCGCTGACATTTGCACGTCATCTCCCGTTAATGCTGCATGTAACTAATCAA